CTGCCTCCCAAGCGCCCCATGGGCTGGGGAGGTGGACCATGCCTACCTCCCAAGCGCCCCGTGGGCTGGGGAGGTGAGCAGTGCGTGCCGACGGGTGTTGACGAACATGCAATACTTCTTGGTGGTGCCGCTGGAGGTAGTGCTGAAGTCGAAGATGCCAGCCTGGGAGGTGCGGCCTCAGGTGGGGGCCTCTTGGGAGGATGCCCTACCAACTGTGAGTGTACAATACTAGACGCCAGCTCCTTCTGGATCTCCTCCGCAGACAGTTGGCCTCCGTACTGATCACTCGTCGTCAGACGCTCCAATCCAGAGCTGGCTGGCGGCGTTGGTGTCAATCTTGTTGGGGACCCAGCTGGAGAACTCGCTATCGTCTTCGGTGGCGACCTTGCAGGACTAGGAGATCCTCGACGAGCACCGTCCTGAGCTGGGTTCTGAACTCCAAGCTGCTGGATCGTACCTCGTCCCCTCGTGATATGCCCCTGCGGTGTACTCAATGAAGCCTGGCAGCGCAGGTGTTTGCCGTCCACAATCGGAGTGGGATACCTTGCTGGCGTCGCTGGCTGGGCTGGCGGTGGAGGTGGAGGTGGAGGAGGTGGAGGGACTTCATCCTCCTCTTCAGCTTCGCGACCAGAGCTCTTGGCCCTCTCCGCAAGATCCCGTCGTCGATCGTACCCATAATCTTCGACAGCAGTACTGTCTGAAACCTCCTTCCTGGCCTCCACTGCTTCTCGGAATAGATCTCTGTGGTATTCGTACAACGTTCGTTGATATAGCATATCGTCCGCCAAAATCTGCTGCTTCTTCTCTAGTGCCGCGATCTTCTCTTCAGCTTGAACCATTACTGCCTGAGCCTCAGATCTCTGGACTGCCACGGGTTTCAACTGCCAGTGCATCCACTTCATCACACTCAGCTCATGCTCCTGTGCCGCCATGTACGTACCCGCCTTCTTGCCCTGCACAAGTAGCTCCGCCAGCTTGAGCATCCTGTCCTCCACCTGCTGCTTGTACTGCTTCATTTCTCGGGGCGCTGGGGGCTGCTTGTAAGCAGCGTGGCGCAGTGCATACTCCTGCGTGCACATCATGTGTGCCTCCAACGTACTCTTGACTTCAGCACGAAAACTCGACTTCTCGCGCTCCCGACGTTTGTCATCAGCTTGGCGTTGTTGGTGCTTCCTCCACGTCATACTGCAGTTCTTCCAACCTCCTCGGGCTCCATCTCTAATCTTGCCTTTGCATACCCATGTACCCTGGTCATTGACCGATTGGCACTCCATACATGTCCACGTGCCAGCAGTACGTCCTGAAGCCATACTTGAATGGTGCAGCTCGATCAGTCTTCGCGCACGCTCCAATCGCAACACCACCCGAGCCTCAGCTCGTCTTCTCCTGGCTCTCCTGTGCCAGGCGGGACTCCGCTTCCTCTTCGACGCCGCCGTCGACCCAGTCGGCCTCGAACAGGTCCTGCACCTGCCTCCCGACCGTCCGCAGCTATGGCTGCGGCTGCGGGCCGCGGGCGCGCTTGCGCCGCGCCTGGGCGCGGCCGCGGGTCGGGCTCCCCTGCCCGCCCTCGGGCCGTAACGCCTGACGAGGCGGCCCCCCCCTCCTCCTGCGCGGTCCTGCTCCCCCGCCCCGCCCCGCCCCGCCCCCCTCCGGCCTCCTCTCGGCCTCCTCCCTCCTCCCCGGTCCCGCCCTCCCCTGAGCCTGTTTTTTTTTTGACTCTGGCAAGTTTACTTGCATGGACGGGGGGGGGGGCTGAGCCTGAAGCAAGCCGCAAACGACTTGCACGTTCGGGGGGGGGGGGGGCTCCGCGCCACGCAAGTGCAAGGGCGTTTTCTCGGGAATGGGAGATGCCTAAAGCCTGTGCCATGGACGTGCCAGAAGGCCGCCTCCCCGAAGCCAGGCCCCCGTGACGATGTGCGCCCCTGGTTCCTGAGAGATGCCGCCCCTCCTGGCTTGGACCCCCTAAAACAAAAAAGTGTAAAGCAGTGCAACACAACGCAAGGGCAAACCAAGCGAGGCGAAACAGGGATAACGATAACCAACCCACTACAACGCAAGTCAAAACCAATTCAACGCAATGCAGCGCAACGCGGCCAGGTGTGAAGCGGCGCATTGCGACGCAATGCAAAGCCATCCTGACCCATTGGACGCAAAGCCACGCAAGGCGACATAAACAAGCACATTGGAATTAAAGGCGCCGACAACCATCGCAGTTCGCAGCAAATCTACGGAGTTCAACCGAGTAAACGACCATACAAACACAGCGCCGCGGTGCGCAATCGCGCACAGCGGGTGTCTAAGTAAGTTGTTGTCAGTTGCCCCCAGCTTCTCAAAACAATGTTAAACGTGTACCTTGAATTGCGAGCTGGCCCGTGCAGTGTGCGGAACGCGAGAGCAACCTCGCCCACGCAGCCATCTGGGCTCGAAAGGCTTCTTTCCATGGCAATGGTGCCGGAGCAGTCGGGGGGGCCGCCCCCGCGGAACCCCCCGCCCAAAATCGCCACAGTTTTGGAACACATGGTGAAAAAAACATCACTGTCCCCACCGCTCAGCGAAGCGTTCAAGAAGAAATTGCACAGTGAACTCCAACCGAAAGGTGAAGAAACAACCAACACACTCAGGTATGCCCACAACCGCTTGCAGCGCATCATCCACTCCATGGTGAAAGCCCTTCAGATGGACCCAGGGAGGTCCGTTGAGCGTTGGAACACGGACGTATGGAAGAAGGCAAAAAGTTGGGTGGAGCAGCGCCAACAAGAAGCTGGCGTTGACATCGACGATTGTCTTCGCATTATTCTCGATGCTTGGTACGACGAGGCTAAAGCAGCATGGGAAGCAACGCAGAGTGGCACCCGCAGGCTGGACGACGTGGTTATAGATTCGCAGTCATCGGGCAGTGGCACCGCTGCTCCCGAAGTGGTCCCGCCCACACAGACGCCCATTCCGAAACCGCGACCTGATGACTGGAGGTCCATGTTCGCAGGTAGCCTGTCCAAGCCGTCTGCTTTTGCTGTCCTGGAACAGTGGCTCGGGATCGACGGCATCGTTGCGAAGATCACGAATGTGAACACAGGTTTCGTAAAGGAGTATCGGCAGATGCAAGAAGATATCGTCAAGCATCACGGCGCGAAGGCTCAGCTTGAGTGCTGGTTGCAAAAGGCGGACCTGGACAACCCGAAAGCTGGGACGCGCAACCAGCTGTTCGGTGCAATGGAGGATAGCAAGAAAAAGTGCGTGGCCTCGCATATGGTCGCCCTCGAACATTTGGACAAGGCAGCGAGCATTCGACAGGAGACCCTCGCCATGGCACAGGGCGACAGGCGGGCTCAAGAGCTCCGAAAGGCTCTCGCCGACGCCAGCGTGGTTAGCAACGAGATGCTCCACAGCCTCACGTTGCGCATCAAGGACCCCCGCCAATTCAATATGCATGCATGCCTCCTCTCATTCGGCCGAGACGGTAACGCAATACTGCAATAGGTGTGTGTGTGTGTGTGCGCGCGCGTGCTTGTGTACGTGCATGCGAAGTCGAAAACGCAAGTTCCTGTCATTTCGCCCTCCCCTCAGACAGGAGGGTAGGGAGGTTGCGGCTATGAGACGCAATTGCATTCCTGGGATCAGAAGAATTGTTAACATGGGTTTTCTGCCAGGCGCGAGATATGGGGGCCCGCCCCCCCAAAAAAAACTGCGCAAACATAAATGGTTTGCTATGGTGGGGGCTGTGCGAAACCGGACGTTGCCGCTCGAGCTCTTTGGGGGGGGGGGATGCTCGCCGCCCCCGGTGGAGAGCGCGACCAATGTGGAAGGCAAGGGGTGCTGGATTGACCGTGTATTCATATTGCCTTCAAGTGTGTGCGTGCGTGTGCACGTGCATGCGAACAAATGCCATCACCCGTGCGCCTTCGAGCCACAAGGGGGGTCGTGAATGCACCCTCTCCCCCCGCCCTTTCTCGCCCTCGTCTCCTAATGGTTGCCCAGCAGGGTTCCCCACAGGGTTCCCCAAACGACCCCCCCTGGGATTCCCAATAAGCCCCACCATCAGAATTCCACAAAAGATTTCCCATCCGATTCCCCATATGGTTCCCCGTACAGTTTCCCAGAAGGTTCCCCATAGGATGCCCCATAAGATTCCCGATAGGCCCCACCTCCATAGGATTCCCCATCTGAATCCCCACAAGATTTCCCATAGGACCCCCAATGGGATTGCACATAGGATTCCTCGTAGAATTCCCCATCAGATTCCCCATAAACGTATTCCCCATGAGCTCCACCGTAGGGTTCCCCATAGGATTCCCCATAGAATTCCTCATGAGAGACCCCACAGTGTGCCCCATAGGATTTCCCATAGGATTCCCAATGAGATTGCACATCGGATTCCTCATAGGATTCCCAATCGGATTCCCCATAAATGTTCCCCCCATGAGCTCTGCCATAGGGTTCCCCATCGGATTCCCCATACAATTCCTCATAAGAGTCCCCACAGTATGCCCCATATGATTCTCCATCGGATTCCCCATGGGATTCCCCATGGGATTCTTCCTATCGGACTCCCCATAGGATTCCCCATAGGCCCCCCCCATAGGATTCCCTTCAGGATTCCCCATAAGATTCCCCATCGGATTCCCAGTAAGATTCCCAATCGGACTTCCCATCGGATTCCCCATAATATTCACAATGTTGTTCCCATAGGCATGGCCATAAGACTTCGCAGCGGAATTCCACTTGGATTTCCCTCACGGCCCCCCCGTGGGGCCCCCCATCGCTGGGGGGGGGGGGGGGGCGCGCTGGGGGGGCGCATGCCCGCGTGGAGAGGGACAGATGCGAGGGCACAATTACGCGAATGCATTTGGCGTGTTTCTGGTCACGTGTTGGCGCGCTTTCTCAATCTCCAGCTTACTCGTTAGCCTCGGCGGCGCGCTGCGGAATAAAAATGAGAGAACCAGGCGGTCCCTTCGGACAAGAGCATCGGGGCACTGGGCGCGACCGGTCCCTCACATGTTGGCCTAGCACCACCTGATGGCAGCAGCCTGAGCCTTGTCAGCCCCGCGCCACTTTTTGGATTCAGACTCCCTGGTGACCTCGGGTGTGCCTGGGATGGTCGCAATAAATTTCTGACCAACCCATTTGAACGACATGATATCCTGCAGCCCTGCTGCAACCACCGCGCCCATGCACGGGGTCAGCGAATTCTTCCAGCCAGTGCTCAGCGCGTCCTCTGGAATCCACTCGTCCGGTGCGGCGGCGTCGGTGTATTGCACGAGCACTTGCCGCTGCCCGTCTGCAGCGATTCTGCAACGCACCACTTTCGATACCTCCATCAGCTCGCGATCCAAAGCCCCGTCTCCGTCGCCTCCGTACTCCGCCTCCTCTCCACGTGGGTCTTCGGCATGGTCCTCGTGCATTCCCTTTGCGCCTGCCTTTGCGATCGCTTTTGGGCCTGCCTTGCCGCTTGCCTTTGCATTTGGTTTCGGCGTTGCTTTCCCAGCTGCCTTGGCTTTTGCCTTTCCCTTTGCCTTTGCCTTTGCTTTTGGCGCGGCGGCCGCATCCTGCTTCAGAGACTCCTCCAACTCGGCGTTCAGTTTCTCCCATCGCTCTTTTTGTTTTGCTTTGGCCTGCCCTTCGCTGATGGCAGCTTTCTCTTTTGCCGATTCCGCTATGTCGCGACGGATGGCCCGAGCTGGCCTGTGATGATTGAAAAGCCGTTGGCGCCTCTTCTCTTCCGTCGGCGTGCAAGATATCCATTGGCAACCTTTGTGGAGGCACTTGGCAAAGCACTCGGTTCGCAAGGTGCCATCTGCGGCGTAACCGTGCTTGACTGGGAGGTGGGGCACCTTCTGGTGGAACTTCCGTCGGAGTAAGGCGTGGAAGGTTGCGTAATCAGCCGTTGGTGGCGCCACAGGGTCGCAGAGAAGGTTGGACTTCTCCTCAGGTGCTGGCTCATGTGTTTCTTCCTCTGCTCCTTCGGGGTCTCCGTCTGGCACGGGCTCTCCGACTTGACTCTTCAGCACTGGGCGGTGCATGCGGTAGTCGTTGGCCCCCGCAGTGAAGGCAGCCCCGAATGGAGGGAAATCGAATTCAAGCTACACGTTGTGTTAACGTTTCCCTAGCGGGTTCTGTTTCGCTGACGAACGATTGGACACACAATGCAGGCCGACACGGCATATCATGACTTATGGGGTTGCGTTTTTGTGTTGTTGTGTAAGTTCGGGCGTAGCCCGAACCTGTTCTTCGCGAAGTGCTGAACTGAATGGCTGACTGATTGGTCGCACCCATTAAGCGCCAATTTTAATGTCGGCCAGCCGAAGGCGCAACCAGTAAAAGCCAATTATATCCTCGGTGGCCGAGGGCGCACCTATGGCGCAACCAGTGCGGGCCAGTTGAATCCTCGGCGGAGGGCGCAACCCGGGGCGCAACAAATATGAGCCAGTCTATGGGCTCGGCGGCCGAGGGCGCAACCTAGGGCGCAACCACTAAGAGCCAGTTATATCCTCGGCGGCCGAGTGCGCAACCTAGGCCGCAACCAATACGAACCAGTTTATATCCTCGGCTGCCGACGGCGCAACCTAGGCCGCAACCGATACGAGCCAGCCTATTAGCTCGGCGGCCGAGGGCCAACCTAGGGCGCAACCAATAGGAGCCAGTTGTCCTCGGCGGCCGAAGGCGCAACCTATGGGAGCCAATTATATCCTCGGCTGTCGAGGGCACAACCTATGGCGCAACAATAGGAGACCCGTTTATTCTCGGCGCCCGAGCGTGCAACCTATGGCGCATTCAATCGGTGCCGCTTGATTCTCGGCGGCCGAACGGGAGGCGCAACCTATGGCGCAACCGACAGACGACGAGGACGAGGAGGAGGTGGAGGAGGAGAAGGAGGAAAATGGTGGTGGTTGGGGGGGTGGGGCGTGCCGTGCTGAGGTGAAAAAGCATCCGCGCATTTTCGTTGTGCTCTGGCCTCGAGCGCCTGGAAGACGACCTTGGGATCCACCTGGCGGGGAAACGCGATCTCCGCACAGAGCTTGCACCGCGGCTCATTCACGCAGATTTGAAAGTCCACAGCGTTCACACCCTTCACCATGTGCTCGTTCTTCTCCACGAATTCGTTGCGAATGAGCTCGTGCTTTCCCCAATTGTCGTACAATGTTTTCGGGGGCCCAATGTTGCAATATTCCTGAACGGCTTCGTAATCGTCCCAAATGTGCTCTGCTTGGTCCACAGCGTGTCGGACGTCCCACGGCTGCCCAGTTGTTGCGCACCCAGACAAGAGCGTTTCGCAGTCTGCCACTCCAGCGCGAATTACGGCTACGAGCACCTCTGGGTCCCCTTTGTTGTCTTCGGCTAACACGCCCTCCCTCTGACCCAGGCAGTGTCCTGCAATAGCATGGTTTGCTTTCGACCACTGTTGCTCAATTTTTACGTGCATGGCGGATTGCCCAGGGGCGAAGAAACGGAGCAACATCATGTAGCACTCGATGCGCTTGAATATCCGCCAATAGAATAAGAGGACAACCATGGATCCTCGGCCCCCCGTGCGAAACTGACAGCGCCCCCGCATTTTCATTCCTCGATTTTTCCTGCTCCTCCTCCTCCTCTGCCTCCTCCTCCTCCTCCTCCCTCTATTTCCTCTGCTGCTTCCCTCCCCCATTCCACAGATCCTGGATTATGCCCGGGGCCGTTATCGACGGACGCGCCAAGTGCCAGAGAGCCTTTGGTTTCAGGCTTCTCAAGGGCTTTCGCCAAATCGTGCGCGCGGGCATCCACCGAAACGCCCGCGTATTTGTAAGGCCGTATCGTGGCGAGCATGCCAACGGGGACAGGCCATGGAAGATGTTTCTCGCCTGGGGGTGTTCCTCCGGCGCGGAAAAAATCTCTGCGAGATGCCGGGCGCTTTCGCCTCCATTGTCTGGCGATTGTCCGCGCGACCAGAGACACATAACCAGGGTGTCCAAGTCATCGGCTAGGAGGACGACGGGGGTGATAACCATATGAGGACGAGGAGCGGGAGGAGGAGAAGGGAACAAACAATGGGATGGGGACAGGCAGGAGGAAGGGTGAGCGAGGAGCAGGAGGCAAAGTCGCCACAGAAAAACAAATAAATTTCGATTTGAGGAACACTCCCTCGCCCCACCGTTCTTTTCGATGCAGTGCTTATCCATGGCCGCCATCACTTCGTCGAAAGAGCACTTTTCCAATTGAGGGAGTTTGGTCTTGCAAATAGCCCAACCGGGCAACGCGAGCAGCATCCGAGCGGACAACGGGATATCATGGTCCAAGCTCCTCCACATATTGTCTGACATGAAGTAGCCTGAAGGCTTCTGATAAGTCAGGCATGGGATGTGCAATGGGATTTTCGCTTTGTCGTCGCCAGCCACCCAGGCGACGCGGAACCCGCCTTGAAGATGCAGGAATAAAAAGAAACTCTTCTGCATACCGCATTTGTACGATGCAGTGTTTCGTGCGAGTGTGCTCCTGCCGCGCTGCACGGTTGTGCCTGGCTAGTTTGGCATCAACCAAAGCGAGGAAGCCTTTCGAATTAGTCCGAGGGCCGTTGAAAACTGAACGAATTGCCGAATAGCTCGCAGCCAGACGCGGGCCTTTCAAGGCCAGCGCGTCTGCGATGTGCCGAACTGGTGCGCCCAGCGTTTCACCCTGAGGCACCAATCGGTGAGCATCGGCCGTAACCACCTGGCCATGGGACATGACGTACGCCTTGATGAAATCCACCACCTCTCCCCCTAAAGAGTCAACGATGTTCTTTCTACCCTTTTTGGCAGCCGGCTCGACGTGTCCATTGTGGCTCGAAGGCCAACGGGTGATGGTATTTGTTCGCATGCGCGTACACACGCACGCGCACGCTTGAAGGTCATCCAAAGATACGGTCAATCCCACACCCCTTGCGTTCCACATTGGTTGCGCTCTCCACCGGGAGCGACGACCCCCCCCCCCAGAGAGAGCTTGAGCGACAACATGCGGTATCGCACAGCGTCCGCCATAGCTAACCCATTCATGATTGCGAATGTTTTTGTTTTTCTTTTGGGTGGGGGCGGCCCCCCCCGTTTATTTCGCGCCTGGCAGAAACCCAAGTTAACAAATCCTCTGGTCTCTGGAATGCGATTCTTTCTAATACCCGTAACCTCCCGACCCCGCTGCCTGAGGGGAGGGTGAAATGACAGGAACCTGTGTTTTCGATCTCGCATGCACGTACACACGCACGCACACACACACACCTACTGCAGGTTCGCGTCGTGTCGACCCCGGCGTTGGTTTCTGACACCGCGGGGATCGTTCAACCTTGAACGATCGGCCGCTGCCGCAACGTCCGATCGTTCAACATCGATCGATCCTGGGTCGCCGGCGGCGTTCAACCTTGAACGCCGCTGGCGGGGTCGCCGCTGGTCGACACGACGCAAACCTACCGTACTGTAGTATGGTGTTATAATTTCGGCCGAATGAGAGGGGGCATGCGTGTATGTTGGGTTGGCGGGGGCCCTTGATGCGCAACGTGAGGCTGTGGAGCATCTCGTTGCTAACCACGTTGGCGTCGGCAAGAGCCTTTCGGAGCTCTTGGGACCGCCTTTCGTCCTGTACCATGGCGAGGGTCTCCTGTCGAATGGTTGATGCCTTGTCCAGATGTTCGAGGACGACCTTATGCGAGGCCACGCACTTTCTCTTGCTATCTTCCACTGCCTCGAACAGCTGGTTGCGCGTCCCAGCTTTCGGGTTGTCCAGGTCCGCCTTCTGCAACCAGCACTCAAGCTGAGCCTTCGCGCCGTGACACTTGACGATATCTTCTTGCATCTGCCGGTACTCCCTTACGAAATCAGGGTTCACATTCGTGATCCTCGCAACGACGCCGTCGATCCCGAACCACTGTTCCAAGACAGCGAAAGCAGAAGACTTAGACAGGCTACCTGCGAACATGGACCTCCAGTCATCAGGTCGCGGTTTGGGAATGGGCGTCTGCGCGGGCGGGACCACTTCGGGAGCAGCGGCGCCACTGCCCGATGACTGCGAATATCTAACCACGTTGTCCAGCCTGTGGGTGCCATTCTGCGTTGCCTCCCATGCCGCTTTAGCCTCGTCGTACCAAGCATCGAGAAGAATGCGAAGACAATCGTCGATGTCAACGCCAGCTTCTTGTTGGCGTTTCTCCACCCAACTTTTTGCCTTCTTCCAGACGTCCGCGTTCCAACGCTCAACGGACGTCCCTGGGTCCATCTGAAGGGCCTTCACCATGGAGTGGACGATGCGCTGCAAGCGGTTGTGGGCATACCCAAATGTGTTGGCTGTTTCTTCACCTTTCGGTTGGAGTTCACCGTGCAATCTCTTCTTGAACGCGTCGCTGAGCGGTGGGAACAGTGACGTCTTTTTCACCATGTGTTCCAAAACTGTGGCGATATTGGGCGGGGGCGGCCTCCCAGGCTGCTCTAACACCATTGCGGAAGAGCAAGTGTTTGACCGGGTGCCCAAGCGGACAAAGCCGTTCGCGCCTAGACGGTTGCGAGGGCGGCCAAGTCTTACTCCACAACATCACCTTCAACGATGTCCACGAACTAATGGAGGCAGCCCAGGGCTTCATCAGCCAGTGATCACAGGACCCCAAACTTTTAAGCCAACCGCAAGTCACATGCATGCAAACACACACATAAACCACACACGCATGAGCACATACACACATACATGCAGATGCGCACAACAATCAACACACAATCACGCACACGTGCGTACATACCCACATGCACGCATGAACGCGAAATCATTTACTGATGGCGCGAATTCATGCGCATGAACATACGCGTACACATTTGCACACACGCGCGCATACGCGCATACAGGCATACGCGCATACGCACATACGTACCCAACCTCACACGCTTATGCACACACATACATACACACTCGTACGACTAAGATCATATATGCAGAAGCAGTGAAGGCCCCTATGAATATAAGTACATATAAGTATATCCATAATATATGTATGTGTGTATGTGTATACACTGGGGCCCATGTGAGCACCGCT